CCAGGGGAATATTACTCAGCCATAAGAAGAGATGAAATAGTGCCATTTGCAACAACATGAATGGACCTTGAAATAATCCTACTAAGCAAAATAAGCCAGACAGAAAAAGTTGAAAACCACATGATATCACTTATATGTGGGATATAAACCTAAAAGCAACAAATGAGCAGGACAAACAGAGACTCATGGACATGGACTATAGACTAGCAGTTAGCAGAGGACTATAGACTAGTGGTTACTAGTGGGGTGGGGGAAGGGGGGGGTAGATGGTGTAAAGGGGGTCAAATATAGAGGGATGGAGGAGGGTGAAGTGGGTAAAAGGGATCAAATATATGGTAGCTGAAAGAAACTGGACTTTGAGTGGTAAACAATAGAATATACAGATGTCAAATGATAATGTACTCCTGAAAATTATATGATTGTATTAACCAATATTACCCCAATAATCTTAATTTTTTAAAAAATCAACCATTTAAAGTGTTTAATTCAGTGATTTTTTTAGTACAGTCACAGGATTATACAGCCGTTACCACTACCTAATCCATTACCTAGTCTAATTACCTATCACTATCTAATTTCAAGATACTTTCATCACACCCTTCAGCCTCTGGACACCATGTATTTTATTTCTATCTCTATGGTTTTGTCTATTCCAAACATTTCATGTAAATGGAATTATACAATATGTGGCCTTTGTGTCTCACTTCTTTTAGTTAGCATGTTTTCTAGGTTCATTTGTGTGATAGTATATATCAGTACTTTCTTCTTTTGTGTAACTGAATAATATTCCATCATATTAATATACAATTTATTTATACATTCATCAGTCATGTGACATTTGGTTTATTTCCACTTTTTTGGCTATGAAGAATACTGCTATGAACATTTATTTATTTTTTTTGTGAACGTACGTTTTCCATTCCTTCGGATATATATGCCTAAGACTAGAATTGCTGGATCATATGGTTATTCAATGCTTAACTTTTTAGGCACTATCATACTATGTTTTCTAGAGTGGGTGTACCATTTTACATTCCCACCAGCAGTGTATGATAGTTCTAGTTTCTCCACATCCTCATCAACACTTATTTTTTATCTTTTTGATTATAGCCATCTTAGTGGGAGTAAAGAGTGGTATCTCATTGTGCTGTTGTTTTGGTTTTGCTGTATGTTTTAGTTTTTTATACAGTCAACTATAATATATCAACTATATCAGGAATACACATATATATTTCTTCATAATTAAGTATGCACTAATTCTACACAGTTTAATGAGAAGAACTGCATTCTCTAGGTCCCCCACCCTTCCATTTCTTCTTTCCCACATATAATGACTTTTAACCAGTAGTTCTCAACCAGGACAGTTCAGCTCCCCCTCCTCCCCAAGGAACTTTTGGCAATGTCTGGAGACTTGTTTGACTATGACAACTGGTTTGGAGGGAGGGCTGTTACAGGCATCTCATGTGTAGAGGTCAAGGATGCTGCCCAACTTTCTACAATGCCTTGGCCAGCCCCTTTACAACAAACATTTATCTAACCCAACATGCCAGTAGTGCTGAGGATGAAAAATCTTAATTTAAACTCCCTTAATGTTTATCTCCATATCTCTGAGTAACTTGCTGCTTCTTAATTTTTCTGTTTTGGGCACTGTCTAATACTGTATCTTTATGAAAAATAATGATTTAACTTATTACCTCTCTCATTTTCCTATCCTTTCAATATAGTTATGTTGTAATTATGGGGAATTTATTAAGATTTCTCATTAATTTGAATGACCATGGTTCATTCAGAGCTATTCAATGCTGAGCTTTGTGATTAACTGATTACTTTTCCTTTCCTTCATACCTTTTTGTTTTCCTTGGAATTCATATATTTTTTGTTTGTTTATTATGTGCTTTATAATCCAACCCCTGCAAATTCTCTATTAATTGTCTAAATTGCCTTTCAATTCTTCATTCACATCAGTTATTTTCTCAATTTTATCTTCCCAAAAAATAGGGTTCCCAGAGCCTAACTTACTCCCATCTGGACTACATTGCCCTCGTTGCTGGTGTACATTAATTGTTACCTTGGGATCTTCCTTCACCCTTATCCTGGGAATTCCCTTTGTCTTTTTCCTGTGTGGAGCTACTGTTTCCTGAACCTTATTATCCTCATTCTTTGTTCCTAGTATTCCGAAATACCTCTGTGATATTTCTTGGCGTGGGTTTATTTTCTCCATTGTGTTGAACACTATGTGGACCCTTATGATTTGGAAACTCAAGTCCTTCAGGCTAAGAAATTTTCTTAAATTATTTTTGTTAATTAGTTTGGTCTCTCCATTTTATCTGGTCTTATATTTTCTGTCTTCTGGAACTTTTATTATTTGGATGTTGAAACTGCTAGACTAGTTCTCTTTCCTCTCCTATTTGCCACATCGTTTTCTTTTTTAGTTTCTGTCCTATATCCTCAACTTCATACACCAGTTCATTTTTGGAGTTTTTAATTTCTGCAATCATATATTGTATATCTAAAATCTTTTCTTGTTTTCTGAATGGTCTTTTAAAATAGGCTGGGGTTTTTTAGAAACATTTTTGAGAATATTAATGATCATTTGCTTTATCAAAGTTATATTTTCTCTTTGTATATTCTACTTCCATCAATTTGCACTTTTTTCCCTATTTGATCTCGTTTCATATTAGTGGAGTTTCTCAGATGTCTGGTAATCCTTTTTCCTCCCTTATATTTAAGAGTAGGGGAATAAAAAATGAGAAGCTCTGACCATGTTAGTAGGGCTAGTTGACCGCAAACTTCACAATTTCTCACTGGGCCATTCAGTTGGGGGACTTTCTAAGTCCATATTTTTAAGACTTTCTTCTTAGAGTAGTCAAATACCCTAGAGAAAACTTTTCTAATCTGTTAACTAGAGAGCTGGCAGCTAGCTGTCTGGCAGCCCAGTGGGAAGGAGAGCTGGAAGTCTTAGTTTCCAGTAAGGTATGTTTCACTTAATCTTCCTGTTCACAGTATAATATTTCCCTTTCAACAGCCTGCCCCAATCCACAGTTATGCCTGTTGATTCCTGGGTAGAAATTTTTCTTTTACCCTTTCAGAAAAGAAATCTTCAATTTCAGAAAATAAATCTTCAATAAACCTAGCAACATAGAGGAGTAGGAATCTGAAGATATGACTGCTTCCAAGTCAGACTTTAAACTCAGTTTTTAGCTTTTCATTTTGAAATAATTCCAGATTTGCAAAAATGTTCCATAGTTTCCATATATACTTCACTACCTATCGGATGCTTTTTAGAAGTATAAATTCCCTGGATCCTACCCCTAGAGCTTTCAATTGGGTCAGACCAGGTTGAGACACAGGAATATATTTTTCTAGAAGGTCCTTTAATAACTGTAATGTGCATCCAGGTTTAGGAGCGACTTGCTTAGACATTTAGAGCTACACAGATAAGGGAACATTTCCTTTAACTTGGAGAATTAATAGCTTTATATCGAAGGTAAAAATTTGAGCCAGGACTTGAAACCTTAGCAGGAATTCAGGAGTTTCTTAAATGAAAAAGTACATTCTAGTAAAAAAAGCAGCAAGAATAAAAGCAAGGAATTAGGAGAGATTTGGCATATTCATGGAATGGTATGAAGATCAATGTGGTGTGGTGTATATAGTAGGCAGTGGAAGGAAGGTAAGGTTGGAAAGGTAGGTTGACAGTGGATTTTAAAGGACCTCGTGTGCCATGATGAATTTGGATTTTATCATGCAGTCAATAAAAGCAATGGACTAATGCATAAAAACCATGCATTATGGTTTATTTTATGAGGAAGAAAATATAGATGGCAACAGGGATATGACCTTTAAAAAGGAAAATGAAAACAGAGAAATCATTGAGGAGGATGCTGTAGTAATCTGATTGAAAATCATTAAAGCATCGTTGTTATAACCATCCAAGGAAGAAATTTACTGGTCTCTAATAGAAATAATTGTTTGTAATTCATTCTCCTTGTTTTTTTTTTTCCTAGGTTTGAAGTCCTCAGTTTTCTCATGTTGTGTTACAATTCTGCTATTGTGTATATGCCTGCTTCATCTTACCAGTCTCTTTGTCGGATGGGATCCAGGTTAGAAGAATAATTATCATTAACCATATTTATTTATCTATTTATTTATTTGACAAATATTTATTGAGCATATCCTCTATGATAGGCACCATTATAACATCTAGCAGTATAGCAGTAAATAAAACTTATGGGGCTTACATTCCTGTAGGAATCTTTATCATCTCTCATACATCATGACTTCTTGAAAATATTTCAGCATTAAAGAAGTATTTTCTAGCTGAACATCAAGATAAGCCAAAGTTTAGGGTGGTTTCATGATATACCTAATCACTATTGCGATGCCAATTTTTATAAATTGCTTTGAGAGCTTTGAATATACAGTCCTATATGTAAAGAAAGTCTTAAGGAATGTGAACCTTTTCCTTTAAATATTTTACAAATCACTGTCTCTGCTTTGAATAAGAAAATTAGCAATACTACCAATGATCTATATGTCTCACTTGTATTCATGTGTTCTAATCTTTACTAAATTAGAATTTCTAATATTTTGGACAGACCTAGGCTGAAATTTAAATATCTACTATAGGAAGAAAATTTAAGTAATATAAATATAAAGTAGTTTGAAGATAGAGGACATTTAGTCACAGAATTTCAGTTAAGAGACTCTGACTTTATCCTATCCAACTGATTTTTACTTGAAACTGAGCCACCCAAAAGAGTTAAATGCTTTATTAGTTTTCTGTTGCCTTATAACAAATTACCACAAACTTAGCTTAAAATAATATACATCTATTGTTTCACAGTTTCTGTAGGTCAGGAGTCTGGGTGTGACTTAGCTGGGTCCTTTGCTTAGGGTCTTACAAAGCTGCAGTTGAGATGTTGGCTGGAGTTGCAGTCTTATCTAGGGCTTGATTGAGGAATTAAACACTTTTATCGACAGAATTCAGTTCCTATAGTTGTAGGACTGAGGGCTTCAATTTTTTGTTGTCTGTCTGCTGAAGATCAGTCTCAATTCTTTGCCGTGTGCACCTCCCAATAGTTAGCCTAAAACATGGCACCTTCTTCAAAGTAGAGGAGTGAGAGAGACTCCAGGAAGACCTGCACTTCGTGCTTAAATGACATAATCAGGTACACATAATCATAGAAATCCCATCACCTTTGCCATATTTTATTGGTTAGAAGCAAGTCACAGGTCTCACCCACACTCAAGAAGAGGGAATGACACAGGGCATGAATACAAGGAAAGAAGGATCATCGAGGTCATAGCCCCCAAGGGTCTGTTCATCACAAATGCTTTGCTCAAGTTCATGCTATTGTCTTACTGGGAAAAGAGTGTGGTCCTCTTTATAACAAAACTCAATTTTGTTAATTAAGGGAAGGCCAGTTCGAATTAGCTGTAAGTTTGATTTTATAGATTATCTTAAAATATATTTTTTTTCACTTGCGTGTAGTAACGTGATTAATGACTAACAAAGTTCTTGTCTCTAACCTAGATACTGTTATCAGGAAAATACACTGTTTAAGCACTTACCTCCTCTCTACAGATAAATTAATTTATAAGTGACTGTTTTTGATTCATTAAAACAAATCTGCTGAATTGCTGATTGGCAACATTATTGTTGCATTTAATAAATTTTCTTAACAACAACGGTGATGGCAGAGTTTAATGGTTGTCAAACTTTTGTACACATATTCCCTAAATAATTTTGAAAAACTAAGTACCCTTTGTACATTTTTAAGTTAACACTTAAAATTTTTTATCCTATCTTATTTATTTACTTTTTTACACCTATAGTACTTGGTCTTCCTAGGTGGTCTCCCATCCAAGTACTAACCAGGCCTGACCCTTTTATCCTATCTTAAATAGTAGCAAATGATATAATTTCCAGTATGTAAATATCGACCTAATAAAACAAATAGTGGTTGTGTCAGTATTTTAAATGTGTATAATGTAAATACTACAGTGATACCTACTATCATCCATTTGAGGAATAAATGAACAAACTCTGCTTTAATAGTCTGACATTATATTATTCATTTTTCTTCTTGAAATTGAATTCCCATTATATTTTACCCACATATTTTATCCTAATATAATGTTATTTTATACTTATTAAGTCTTTTCACCTAATTATACATCTCTGCTACAAAAAAATATATATGTAAACTGAAATTTAAAAAAATTTTCCTGAGACCATGTATCACTAAAAACTAAAAAAATTTCTTCTAGACTCAACACTCCAATTATTCTAATAAATTAATTAATGAAACAGCATTACAACTTTTGATTATTAAGCATAACTTTTCTGGAAGCATCTCTTAATGAAATGAAAGGTAGAGGATTGTTTATGGTACTTCGATTTAAAATAGCCTCATGGACATCAGTTATTTTGAAATGTCCCTTTATTTGCTTTGAGATTTCTGTATTTCCCACTCATGCATCCTGATAACAATTTGAGATGTGTGAAAGTGTTGTATTTCTTTTTGAAGAGGGAGGAGGATGATTTTTGAAAGACTCGGCTATTTGAGAAAAGTTCTTTTTATTGATACAGTCCACCAGAATGTATGTTTTATGAGAGCACAGATTTCATTTATTTATTTCTTTTTGCCTGTTTACAACTTGTATGCCTAGCCCTAGGACAGTGACTTACACATAGTAGATGCTCATTAAATATTTGAGAAATAAATAACTGAATAAATGAATTTGTGAAAGCAAAAATATTTAATTCAGTGAAAAAGGAAATCACACATGATAAATATACTGTATTTTCCTAGGGTTTGTGTGAGTGGGTTTCCACGGCAACATGAAAAACACTGGAAAGAACTCTCTGGTCGAATAGTATTGGATCCCGAATTTATGGTGCAACTTCTCACAGGGGTTTATTATGCCATGTAAGTAGGTGGGCTGAAATTAGGTGAATTCTTTCTAATGTCTGAAAACTTAATATTTTACTTGCACAACATTGAATGTTTTGTTTGTGATGGACCTATTATCTTATTTTTCTAATATGAATTCCTCTTAGTACTTTTTTTTTTGGCAAATGTGCACTTTTAATATGAAAGCAATATAACTGTTGAAGACAGTTTATATTGAGATATAATTGACATAATTTTCGGTGTACAAGGATAATGATTAGATGTATTTTATATTATGAAATTATTACCACAATAAGTTTAGTTAACATACATCACCATACATAGTTCAAAAATTTTTTTTCTTGAGATGAGAACTTTTAAGACTTACATTCTTAGCAACTTTCAAATATATAATACAGTATTGTTAATTATAGTCACCATGCTGTCCATTACATCCTCAAGACTTCTTGTAACTGGAAGTTGGTACCTTTCGTCCCCCACTCATCCCCCAGCTTCCACATCTGGTAAACACCAATCAGTTCTCTGTATCTGTGGATTTTTTATTTTTTTTTTTTTTTTTAGGGGGGTGGGGTGGAGGTTAGATTCCATATATAACTGAGATCATACAGTATTTGTCTTTCTTGGTGATTTATTTTTCTTAGCATGATGCTCTCAGGTCCATCCATGTTGTTCCAAATGGCAGGATTTTCTTTTTTGTGGCTGAATATTTGTGTGTCCTGCACACACGCGCACACACACAGTATTGTCCATTCATCCGTCAGTGGACACTTTTAAGTTAGGTTGTTTCCATGTTTTGGCTATTGTAAATAATGCTGTAATGAACATGGGGTGCAGATATCTTTTTGAGATAATGATTTATTTTCCTTCAGATATTTCCTTCAGCAATTCAGAAGTTGAATTGCTGGATCGATCATATGTTAGTTCTACTTTTAATTTTTTGAGGAACCTCCATACTGTTTTCCATAGTGGTTATACCAATTTACATTCCTACCAATATGCACAGAGTTCCCTTTGCTCCACATTCTCAATACTTATAATTTATTGTCTTTTTGATAATAACCATTCTAACATGCGTGAGGTTTTGTGGTTTTGGTTCGCATTTATTTCCTGATGATTAGTGATGTTGAGCACCTTTTCATGTACCTGTTGGCCATTTGTATGTCTTCTTTGGGGAAAAATCTATTCAGATCCTCTATCCTTTTAAAATTGGATTATTTTTTTTCTATTGAATTTTACAAGTTCTTAGAATATTTTAGATAATAACCCCTTACCAAATATATGATTTGCAACTATTTTCCCCCCTTCCGTAGGTTGCCTTTTAATTTTGTTGATCATTCTCTTGGCTGTGCAGAAGCTTTTTAGTTTGATTTAGTCCTACTTGTTTATTTTTGCTTTTTTTGCCTTTGCTTTTGGTGTCAGATTTAAAAAATTATTGCCAAGACTGATATCAAAATTGCTTACTACGTGTGTTTTCTTCTAGGAGTTTTATGGTTTCAGGTCCCACGTTCAAGTCTATAATCCATTTTAAGTTGATTTTTGTGTGTGGCATGAGATAGTTGTCCAGTTTCATTCTTTGCATGTGGCTGTTCAGTTTTTCCAACACTATTTACGGAAGAGCCTATCCTTTCCTTATTGTATATTCTTGGCTCCTTTGTTGTAAACTAATTGACTGTATATACATGGGTTTATTTCTGGGCTCTCTAGTCTGTTGAACTCCGTGGGAACTATGTGTGTTTTTATGCCAATACCATACCGAATTGGCTACCATAGTTTTATAATATAGTTTGAAATCAGGAGATGCCTCCAGCTTTGTTCTTCTTTCTCAAGATCGCTTTGGCTGTTCAGGGTCTTTTGTGGTTCCATACACATATTAGGATTTTTGTTCTATCTCTGTGAAAAATGCCATCGGAAACTAGATAGCGATTACATTGAATCTATAGATTGCTTTAGGTGGACATTTTAACAATATTCTTCCAATTCATGAGCTTGTCATTTACTTCCATTTACTTGTATTCTTCAATTTCTTTCATCAATATCTTATAAAAAACTAAGTATACAATGTACACGTCTTTTGCCTCCTTGGTTAAATTTATTCCTAGGTATTTTTGATGCAATTATAATTGGCATTTTTTCCTTAATTCCTTTCTCTGACAGCTTGTTATTAGTGTATAGAAGTGTAACTGATTTTTATATATTTATTTTGTATCCTGCAACTATACTGAATTTGTTTATTAGTTCTAACAACTTTTTGGTGGAGTCTACATATAGCATGTCTTTTGCAAATAGATACAGCTTTACTTTTCCTTTCAGATTTGGGTGCCTTTTGTTTCTTCTTTTTTTTTTGCCTAATTTCTCTGACAAGAACTTCCAGTATTATGTTAAATAAAAGTGGCAAGAGTGAGCATCCTTGTCTTGTTCCTGATCTTAGAAGAAAAGCTTTCAGTTTTTCACTGTTGAGTATGATGTTAGCTGTGGGCTCGTCCTGTGTGCCTTTATTATGTTGAGGTACATCCCCTCTAAACTCACTTTATTGAGAGTTTTTTAATATATCATTGAATTAGGTTTGCTAATATTGTTTTTGAGGAATTTTGCATCTGTGTTCATCGGGGATTACTGGCAAGTAATTTTCTTTTCTTGTAACCTTGTCTGATTTTGGTATCAGGGTAATGCTGGCCTCATAAGTTTGGAAGTATTCCCTCCTCCTGTGTATTTTGGAACAGTTTGAAAAGGCTTGGTTTTAAATTTTCTTTAAATGTTTGGTAGAAGTTACCCATGAAGCCATCTGGTCCTAGACTGTTGTTTATTGGGAGGTTTCGATTGCTAATTCAATCTCCTTACCTAGTAATCAGTCTGTTCAGAGTTTATATTCCTTCATATTTCAGTCTTGGTAGGTTGTATGTTTCTAGGAACTTACCCATTTCTTCAGGGCTGTCCAATGTGTTGGCATATAATTATTCATAGTCCTTTTAGTGCTTTTAAAATAACCAAAAAGTAACAAAACTAGTCAATAAATTGGAGTGTAGAAATTGTCAGGTTTTCTTTACAGAAAACTGTGTTTCTCTATATAGCTTATGGTTTTCATGAATGCATTAAATGGATTACCCTAACTATCAGCTCATGATAGAAACCAATTCATGTAAAGAAACATATATAAACTATTTTAAATGCTAATATACGAAATCTTTATTTTGTTCTTATAACCAAAAGTAGATAAAATGAAATGATGTGAAGACCTTGTTTCAGAACCAAAATAGTAGGACTTTGAACAATAAAAAGGTGGTTGTTGATTATTAGAGATATTTGCTAAAGATAATAAACAATCTGCTTCTCCTTAGGTATAATGGACAGTGGGACCTTGGCCAGGAAGTCCTTGATGACATCATTTATAGAGCTCAGCTAGAACTCTTTTCTCAACCACTTTTGGCAAGTGACAACATTTACTTTGTATTAAATATACCTGCCCTGTAAAGGGCACTAATGGGTAAAAAAATTTAATTATGTAATATATGAGGCAGTTCAAATCATTGAAGGAAAAATGGTTATTCCACAATAGTAGTTGGTTAACTGTTGGAGAGAAAGCAAAATTGGTTTCGGTCCTCTCCTCCTACCACATATCAAAATAAAATATAAATAAATTAAAGAATTAAATGTTTTAAAGTCCTTTACCCATTTCCTATTTGCCGTGAGAATACATGCTGGCATTGCTTGCAGCTGCAGCGTTTACCCCGATAACGCATGGTTTACAGTCTTAACCTTATCCTCAAAGTTTGCCACGAAATATCTTGCTTTTATTATTATTTTTGCATCACTCTAGTATATCGATAGTCTTTGTAAACAAATGACATCATTCTACTTATAGCATTCTGTTTTTAGTAATGGTATTTCCATTTATAAAATACAGTAATTCTCAATCGCTGAAAATGTCAAATTCTAGAAAACATAGCATTTCTACGTATGATGTTAACATTGTTCTCTAGCAGTTGTTAGCAGAAGATTCATTTGATGAAGCTGATTTATGTATACATTTCTGTTACATTAGGATTAGAGACAAGTTCTAAATAACTCCAAGAACAGATTTTATATTATATTTTATTTTAGCCTCAAAGAGCATGTTTATGTAAAATTAAATTAATGCTGGCAGTGAGCTTTCCTTTTCTTTCTTTTTCTTTTTTAAACAGGAAATGAGTTAAGATAAGAAAGAGGCAAAGGTTATAAATATTTACTCAGATTTCTAGAGAAGGACTTTCTAAGCTTAAGTGATTGGACAAGTAACTAAAAAAAGGTTGATGATTTTTTACCACATAAACATCTAAATTCTAAATGACCAGTTTTTTAAAAACAAAACTAATATGCAGTACACAGACTGAGAAAAATATTCTCAATAAGCATGACAAGAAAGCCTATTAATATTTGTTTATATAAAAAGATTTTATACTCTTCTATAAGATAAATATATCTCTAAAAGGTAAATGACCAATCTAAAAACAAATGTAGACATCCAATAGTGGAGTAAGAAAGGCATTCTTTATGTTACCAGTAGCAGTATAATGCAACTCTGAACATCCCTCTGGAGAAGCAGTTTGGTAATGTGTTCATTCTGTTTCACCCACTCTCCTATGTCTAGCAATTTTAATTTTTTTTTTAAATGTAAGCACGTTAATGTTACTTTTAATCGCAAAGGAATCAAACAGTTTAAAAGTTTCGCAGCAAAGAATTATTAAGTTATATATTTGCTTGATGAAATTAAGTGTTTGAAATTTTATATTAAAGAAAGATGGTAAAGCAGTATACAACTATTCTTTTAATCTAGAGAAGAGAGAGGAAACATAAAAGTGCTAATAGTTTTCTAAGTGATTTGTCTAGGTGATTTTTCTTGTCAGTTTTCTATATTTTCTAAGCTTTTCGTAGTATTTTTATAATGATATTTTAAAAATATTGTTTATGTAGTTTTACTTGCAGCACTTTAAGAATACAATTTTAAAAGCCATTTTCTTTATATCTTTTTTATATTTAAGCTAAATAGAAATTTATTAAAATAGCATTTATAATAATTCTTTATATTTGACTTTCCATGTTTTTCTAATGTTATCCTTCCTAATTTACACTTAGAGTTACATTAAAAAAATGGATAGCAAGATAAAAACATTACATCATCATAATACCTTGCATTTGTGAGCCTCTTTAAATTCATACTTTTATCTTTGTAATAATTTTATAAATTAAGTAGATGAGGCATTTGCAAGGCAATGTAGGTAAAGATATTGATAATCTCTCTTCCTGGAATAGTTCTTAATTATTGGGTATTTATTTATTGGACCCAATAAATAACATTTCTTTTCTCTATTCAAATCTAGCACCAGGTGATAAATAGATAAAATAGTGAATAGAGAAATAAGTATCATCTTACTACTGATAAAAACTAAATCGAAAGACTTAACTCCCTACCCCTCAGTCTAGACCTTGGAACAGCCAACTGGTGAAAATGTTTGAGTTGGTAGGGCAGGCACACTTAGCCAGGTTGCTACATTCCACTTGTTTTTGTCCAAGTGGAGAAGGAGAAAGACAATCCTCTATCTCAAGATCTCTACCACATTAGCACTACCCAGTTAAGAAACATGGACCAGTCAATGACATTTACTCTCCAAATATATTTTACTCTCTTTCATGGAGGGCAGAAAGTGATAAGACAAAATGCCGATATGTTTGGGGAAAATTTCTTATGAAAACAAAGGAGTAGAGAAAAGGCTATTTTTTTTTTTAAATAAGATTAGATTTTCATGTTGTTTATCATCTGAAGAATCAGAAACTTATTCTACTTTTTCTTATGTCAGGGTTCAAATGTTAAATGAACTTACTCTACTTTTTCTTATGTCAGGATTCAGATGTTTTCTTTGGAATGCTTTTTCTCTTTGAAAGTCAACCACTTTAAGGTATTGGTGGGGTGACACATTTTTAAAAATAAATTCTCATTTAAAAAGCTTGCCTAGAAGAATACAGAACAACGGAGATACAAACATTTCTGATACATTGTACTTTTATATTTTATATTACAAGTTTTAAATACATATTCAAAAAATTATGTAAACACGAAGTGTAGAATTAAGTATAGATTGTATATTGGGTGTAAATAGGTGTGAACTTATATTATCATTTTAGGTTGCCAATGCCATGAAAAACTCATTACCATTTGATGCTCCGGATTCTTCACAAGAAGGCCAGAAAGTACTTAAAGTGGAAGTCACTCCAACAGTGCCGAGGATTTCTCGGACTGCGATTACAACAGCTTCCATCCGTCGCCATAGATGGAGGAGAGAAGGTGGGTACAAAATCTCTATAGCCTACTCATGGATTCAAGTAAATTTATCACTGTTTTTACAGACTGTATTAACACATGATATTATAGTACTCTCTATAATTAAAATTGTTCAGTATATAAAAATAGCACTAGAAATGTGGTTTAAGTGCCTAAATTTATTTTAATATAAATTTTTTTAATCAAGTAAAAAGATGTCATTTAGAAGGCTCTATGAATGTTAAAACAGAAAGTAAGATCAAGTTAATGTTCGCCTTTTTTCGAACTAGTAATAACAATAAGAAAGAAGTTTCTTTAAGCCTCTTACCAGTAAAAAAGATGCATGTATGACCATTGTGGGAGAAAATTATGTAACTAGCCAATCTACTGGTATAATACTAGCTATCTGTAAAAAAATTGATTATTGTTGTTTTAGATTTTTGTCTTTGCTTTTCCTTTTTAATATGTGCTGAATCCAGCAGTATTTTATAGGCATATGGTACCTCAATAGTCAAGCTGTCTTGCCTAAGAGATATTAATTGCCATTTTAATGATCCCTATTTTTCTGTCCTATTCATTTGCAAACCTCACATTGTTCATCTGCTGCCTTATGTGTGTGTATGCTATGCACACACATGTAACTATTAAATAGTGTTTGTGTTTATATCATATCCATATATACATTCTCTTTATCTGCCAGGGTCAAAATGCTCAGAAAAGAATAGAGCAGCACAAAAGCACTAAAATTTTATATGTTGAATCCCAGATGGCTTTGACTTCTCAAACGAGGCTGACTCGAGTATTCCTGGCTCCCCGATCCAACACGGCTCCACTGACCTAGGGATCAAACGTGTGCAAGAGGGGGAAGTGCTGGTGCGCAGGACCCCTGAGCACGGCTCACCGGAGCCCAACTATGCAGCAGCCACAACAGAGGGTAGGACAGAGATGAGGAGGCAGAAGGCAGTGAGGCAGTTGCTGGAGAGGGATCCTGGCTCTCTATCCTCAAGCAGAACAGCTTTCCATTCTAGCGTGTGTTTCCACTACCCCAAAGTGTATTAGCTCCTCCTTGCAAAACACAACCCCCCATATGCCTAGCGCCAGGTCAGGTACAATCTTTAGTTAACATTCGTGCTGGCCTGAAGTCTGCATCCCTGTGTAATCAAAGAACAGCTTGGCATGGCTACTAACAAGGCAGAGGCCTGTCTCCAAAAGGTCTGCAAACGCTTGGAATTTTTTTCATTACTGAGCATGTTTATTTTAACATTAGAAGAGGAAAAATGCACCTAATGGACATGAGCCTTATTAATCAATATGAATTGATTTAATTCATATAATAATTTATTTTTAAAACATATGTGAGGAGGATTTTAAAACATTAATACATTATCTTTGTGAAATTGGACTAATGTGGAGCCAGAGATTTATGTTTAATCCCGGGGTGGTCAATTAAGAATTTATCTCTTTGGCAGAGTAAACTAGTATTGATTGGCTTTTTATAATCTGCAGTCAAGTTGCCTGGGTCTAACTAGTGAACTACTGACATCTTTATAAATGTACTATCCTAGTGCACACTACATTTTATCATTTGTTGTAAGTAATAATTGTCTTATATAGCTCCCAAACAGAATTGAAATGTATTATTTAGAGGTCAGGTATCCTGGTCAATCCTGGTTTCTACAATGTAGTTATCTCAAAATGAGAATACTCCCACCGCCCCTTCTACAACCACAACTATCTGTAAAAGAACACTGCTCTCTGATAGTATTTATGTCCTGCTTTACATGTGGCGCCGTAGGTGTTGGCTTTGTGAAAGAAGGAGCTATAGACTAATTGTTTTTTCATTCTTTAATGTATTGCTACTGTGGAACCTTTACACTAATTTATGAAATATAGCAAATAGTTTTAAAATAGGTTACATATTTTTACTTATTTTGAAGACCAAACATACATGAAGCAGGTACCTTCCACCTTAAGGAAGTCTCTTGCTCTCTGGTGCATTAAAAATGTGAGCATGCTCAGTAAGAATCTAAATCTACTCTTGTTCCCTTGCCCATTTGTCCAGATTAACCTTACTTTATTTAACAGTGCTGCATGTGCATGATCTAGGGACCCAAAGAGTTGGTGCTGTTTTACAGAGATCCCGTGGAAGAATTAGCCTTCTCTTTTTAGAGTTTTTATTTTTATTTTTTTAATGGTATCTCTTTATTATTCCTGGGAGTCAGTTTTATCTTGTATAAAGGCATAAAAATAAAGTATACAAATAGATGTTGAACCCAGAGTTGGCCTAAATTGAACAACATCCTATTTCTCAACATTCCAGGTGACTAAATGAGCCACTTGATGTGTATCTACTACCATTGTTAGAATGTTGGAATATTTGTGCTAAATGTAGTTGTACTAATTAATACTCGATGAAATTCTAGAAAGTGTGGGATAAGGTTAAAATATTTCTTAAATTTTTATCAAAAGTCATACAGTTTGAAAAGGAACCAAAATAATAGTTCCTTTTAAATATCCTATTAAATATTAAAATAATCTATTCTATTTTAATATCTCTGACTACTGGTATAAAATTTGCAGTTTGTGAGGGTAGGGTATAGCCACAAGGAAAGAGGAATGAGTTCCTTCACTGTGTTTGAAATTTCTCAAAACTTATTTTGCCTTTTTTAATTTAATTTCATTTTATTATTATTATTATTATTTTATGCCTACAGCACCTGGTCTTCCTAGGTGGTCTCCCATCCAAGTACTCACCAGGCCCAACCCTGCTTAGCTTCTGAGATCAGACGGGAACGGGCGTGTTTAGGGTGGCATGGCTGTAGACTAATTTGCCTTTTAATCTAGATTAATTGTAGTTTTAAATCATTATTAGTAGAAGCTAAATTTATAAGGAAAGACAGATATGAATGGAAAAGTTCATTAAAAATCCTTTTTGGTTGTCTCTTTGGATGATGAATAGTATTGTTACCACCCAGGGAGAAAATTAGAAAGGAAATAAGTTGTGAGACACAATTGCCTTTTTATTCCTTGAGGTTTTTTAAACAGAAGGAAGGAAATTACTAAAACCTATGTAAAGTCCTGGTAATTTTGAAGTCTGCTGGAGCGTTTGGATAAACATCAATAATTGACCTTAAAATATATACTATATATGTTTTTTAGTATGATGGTTTTAAATAGCTTTACAATTGTACTCATGTCGAAATTGAAGGGAATGTGAGCCCATTACCTTTATCCTTTTAAGTAATATTTTATTTTAAAGCTGGATTTAAAATTATTACTAAACTGGGGATGCCTGTGATTAAAGTACAGTCAGTGTTCCATTATATTGATACAGCATTTCTTAGTATATAAATTATCAGTAGTAGGTTTTCTTGCATGGTGGCTCTTATGTTATCATCATCTCTTTTATGGTCATATTGCTTAGGCATCAGATCTGCATGTGGCAAGATTCAGAAGCAAGCACTAAGTCTCTCAGTCTCCTTTTCCTAATTCTCTCTCTATATATATATCCAATAATACATTTCTGTTCACTCTTAGTTTTATATTACTAATATCAGTCCTGAACCAATAACTATCCTTTCTTGGGCATTTTGGAGTTCTTTATACTAATTGTAAGTAAATTGCTAAGATGATATTATATAAATATAATTTAAAGTTTTTATTTTGAGATACATTATATACTATTCCTTTGAACAAGGGGTTGAGAGAAGTGGTGTCAGCTGCATTTTCATATGGCTTTGCATGATTAAAGATTATTAAACTGCTGGATATAATAACAAGATGCTTTTGCTTTAAGGATAGCCTATTTTATTCTTTTGAAGGAAGGAAATAACTAATCCCTATGGGAAAATATAGCTAGGAAAATACTTTTATTTTTCCAGGTACCATGTTAAATAAAAATTGTGTTTAAATATTTCATATATATTTTACATATGTAACCCTATCACAAAGTAATATTTGTTTAGATTTCTTTCCTAACATTTTACCTTAACTGTAATATTGATATCTGTATGAAGATTCAGATTAAACTTCTTACAATCTGGTAAACATATTTATGACATAGTAAACTGCTATCAGTTTTGGAAAGAAGCAGATGTATTACTTTCTAAGAGAATGTATTCATACTTTCAGTAAGAAAATTGGGCTTTCTGGAAACCCCAAGCTAAATATATTATATATGCTTCTCCCCTTAGAAAATCTCAGAATAAGGATTCTTTCATTAACTGCAATTTTTGCATGAAACATAATGCACTAAGTATCTTGTGATTATGAAAGTAATACATCTTAAAACTGAAAACCTAAAATATTATAGAAATACATAATAAAGGATCTCAATC